GTTCCGCTTCTGTACCTTTTGCTTGCTTTACTAGTTCTATCCCATAGGGGGGCCTAGAAACTGTTGGCCTCAAAGGTGTATAAAACATGTTTGCCAACCCCTAGTCGGGGCTTGAGTCCGATGCTCGACTTGGATCCCCGTGGGTAATAAACTCCTGTGTGGATTTAATATCGGTCTCTGGTTGGTTCTCTCTCACCGGGTGTAACACTTCCAATTGGCCAGGATCTTAAATAGCTCTTCAACTCATTTCCTATTCTTTCTCATTTGATAGTCTTGGTTCAGATACTCCTCATTTCTTGCCTGAATAGCTTCCTACAAACTGCTGTCCCAAATCTATTTTCCAAGACAGATCTTCAAATCAGTGCTCATCAACATTTTCAGTGTGTTAGCTAAGCAATGTCTTTGCAATCTATATAAGGGAATCTTTGTTTAAGGAAAATTTTATTCAATTACATATTTGAGTTTTTTTCCCATTCCAGGAATCATTTTCTTCCAGGACAGTGATTATTTATATGTTGTTCTACCAGCTTCTTTTCTTATTATTTTTATCTTTGTTCTCATATTTCATTTTACTTCTTCAAACCTATGTTCTTTGTCCTAGACTGTATTTTTTATCTATATCTAGTTTACCTTTCACTGATTTGAATGAAATTTTCACCTTTTAGTTTTATTTCACCTTTTAGTTTTATTTCACCTTTTGGTAGTTTTATTTTATTCTTTTATTCCTGAGCTCCATAGGCTCCCTTTTCATCTTCTGTTCTTCCATCACTTTTTCAACCTCTTTTTAGTTTTTCAGACTTTTTTTTTTAAAAAGGAAACCCAAATTACCTTTATTTTTTTTGAATTTTGGGGGAAAATTTGTTTAAAATTTTTGTAGGAACAGGTCCTGAAATTCTGTGTTCTTCATTTGCCTTTTGTTTATTTTTTCCTCTGCAATTTTTCTTCAGTATCTACGCTTCCACCAGGGAAATGGACATTTCAGAAACAGTAAAAGTGAGATTTAAAAGATGTATACAGTAAGCTTTGAGAGAGAACCTTATACCTTCTTTAGTCTTCCTCCTTTACCAAATCAGGGCCTGAGCCTGGGTGTTTCTGCGTATACAGTTCCCTGTCGTATGGAAAGAGATCTTGAAAGCCAATGGTAGGTAGTGCAGCCACAAGGTTAGCTTACTACAGTAGAAGATATAATATGGGAGAAGTTAAAGAAAAGCTGACTTGTTTTCCAGCACAGACAAGGGCCAGGAAAGAGGAGGAAACAGGTAGGAAAAAGATTCAGGAAATATGCTTCAATTTTCCATGCATTGATTGAGCGATCATGGGGTAACTGTGAGAGTTGAAAGGGGAAGGGAGGTTTTGTTTCTGTTTTCTATTTAGGATTCTGAGTGGAGCTCAAATCTCAGACTGCTCTTTGGAAGTCTAGGGCATGGCTACTTCTTCTTGGAGGCATAGTAGATCAGCTCTTCAGTTTAGATTCCCCATTTTCTTGGTTTGTTTCCTCTAGAGGCAGACCAAAGGCAAAAATTTGTATATCAAGTTTATTTGGCATGAGTTCCCAGGAAACACCAATAGATTAGTGGGAATGTTAAACAAAAGGGAAGAAAGCCAAAAAGGTGTGTTATTAAACAAGGTTTCTCAGTGGCAACTGGAGCCTTGCTCTGCTAGGGAACAGCTTAGAAAGAGTTCCTTAAATTACCTTACACCACTGGTAAAGGGGTCAGAGTATTTATCTACTACCTTCTTAACAGCCACTGCTTGAAGATTTCTCCCATAGGCCATTCATTCCTTAGTATTTCTAACAGTTGTATGTTCACACTGAGTAGCCAGAAAGGCTTGAGGCAAGAAAACCCAAAGGACAAACAAATCAACCCCAAGGCTTTGGCAGATGAAAGTCAGGT